GGTTACGGAATAACTGTGATCCAAGATCGTGGTGACTGCCTAATTGCAGTCACAGTTATTCCATAATCCAAGGTTGTAGTGACTGCCTAATTGGAGTCACAGTTAATCCATAATCCAAGATCGTGGTGACTCCCTAATTGAAGTCACAGTTATTCCATAATCCAAGATCGTGGTGACTGCCTAATTGAAGTCACAGTTATTCCATAATCAAAGATCGTAGTGACTGCCTAATTAAAGTCACAGTTATTCCGTAATCAAAGATCGCGGTGACTGCCTGATTGAAGTCACAGTTATTCCATAATCAAAGATCGTAATTATTGTATTGTTGTTGTTTTTTGTGCAATGCTACACAATGGACTATCTGCGCTCTGTACGCCACGGAGAATCGAATCCCGGAATTTAACACTCCAAGTCCGTAAACTTACCGCTGATACACCTGGGAAAAGTTTATTACATAATTCTCGGAACATTGGGTTGTTCAAAGCATACAATACCTTACACGAGCAAATACAAAGTCATTTGGTGTTTAGAGCCCTGTTACATCAGTTTACAACGATGAAAACACACGATTTAATTTGATATTTCAAAACCAAGACAGTGTATCACTTTCATTCTTTACTTTCTCGATATATTTCATAAAATCGTTTACCTGTAGCTGTACTTTTTATTGTATACACTATGTAGAACTAGCGTTGTAGAAGTCAAGCATTATAACGGAAGTGTCATAAAAACAAATTGATACTATAATAAAATGAGTGAGACTGAATTCAGAACTACGAACCGGTAGAGGGCGTTGCAAATGCTAATGCAAAGTGTCTCGCAAAAACTGTTAAATATTTGAGCTAAGTTTCGTGGATTTATTGCAAACATTTATTACGAAAACATAAAGTAGTGGTTGAAAATTAACGTTAACTCAATGCCATTGACAAATTACATTTCAACTATATTCAACAACGAATGGGCGCCGACTAGCGGTAATTTTATGACGCAGCACTAACTTCAGTAATTACTTTTCAGCGTGTACAAGTACTTATTTACGTTCACAGAATCCAATAGCAGGGGTCGTGAGAACTAATAAAGTAACAAAAAAGCTATATCTTCCCGACAATAAGTTCTAACAGGTGAACAGTAACCATGGTAATGGATATTGCAGCAAATTCATATATATATATACACACACACACGTGTAATATTTATTTATATACACACAGACACCCATATATATATATGATAACTGATATCAACAAGTGCGAGAAAACAATGATATTGGACAGCGTATGTGTTTCTGAAACCAGACGTAGGTTCCCACACTATTCGGCACGTGCATTTAGCTATAGAAGTGCACGTGGATATGTGTGTACGTGCGTGCGGTAAACTTATCTGGAGAAAAAATACAAACAAGATTTTTCAATTTACATAATATAGTCAAATCGTTTTCACTTCTCTCTCTCTCTCTCTATTTTTTGTCGAATTTATTTTATATTTTAATATAATTAAATAAAGTTAATTATACGAATTAAACAATAAATATTTAACAGTTTCGTTTTGAGTTTATTTACCGATTATAAGTATTACTTTGTTACAGGTTTTATAGTAATAAAGGGAAAATATTCTTCCTTACTGTAAAAGCTGTAACTTGTAATAAAATAATGAAGGAAATATCTAGTTCCTTTTCGTCTCAATACTAAAAAAAAAATATTGTTTGAAACGTTCATAGAAAGTGAAGTGTTGGAGAAAAAAACAGAATAAATAATATAATTGTTTTCGATATTAGGAACAACAACAATGAACTGGTAATATTATTGGGTTTGTTTTAAGCGCAAAGCTGCACAATGCACTACGACCACCGCAGACATCGAACACCGAATTGTAGTTTTGTAAACTCCGAGGCTTATCGGCGAGCCACCGGGGAAGAATATTTTTGAGTAATTTACTCATTTGATTTGTGCATAAAGAGCACTCATGTGTTGTTTAAGTTATTGATGGGATATTACTGGGATTACGGCCGAAAATATTGTTAACCGCGTGGGTACCCAACTGATAAATCAATAAATTCTAGTAGTAGTAGTCCCCCCCCCCGGTGAGTTAGCTGTAACGCTGAGGGCTTATAACGTTAAAATTCGGTTTTCGATACCAACGATGGGCAGATCACAGTTGACCCATTGTGTACCTTTGAGCTTAACAACAAACAAACAAACAAACAATAATTTCTATTCAATATAGTTTTCTCAGCATAAATGTTACAGTGTAACATCATTGTACATCTTACGAGTTTGCGATATATATAATTGGCATAATTAATAAGAATTAAAATTAGTCTTGACCCTTAAAGTTAGTTCACTTTTGATCAGAAGTTATTGATAATTTGCATCTACATATAAACAATGTTAAGTATGCAACAGCTGTTTAACTCATAATATGAAACGTTTCTTCTTTATGTGTAGATAAATGTGAATGCTCAATAAGGCCTAGCTATCGATGAATGCACCAGCTGTTTAACTCATAGTATGAAACATTTCTTGTTTACGTGGAGATAAATGTGAATGCTCAATAAGGCCTAGCTATCGATGAATGCACCAGCTGTTTAACTCATAGTATGAAACATTTCTTGTTTACGTGTAGATAAATGAGAATGCTCAACAAGTCCTAGCTGTCTTGTTAAAAATGGTCACTACGTTATACATTGCGTGTAATTCCTCCATACCTCAGACTGTTCTTTAACTCATAGTATGAAACATTTCTTGTTTACGTGTAGATAAATGAGAATGCTCAACAAGTCCTAGCTGTCTTGTTAAAAATGGTCACTACGTTATACATTGCGTGTAATTCCTCCATACCTCAGACTGTTCTTTATCGCATCGAAACTTTTTTTTTCCAGCATTTTCGTTTAATGAATATGTTTTATTCTATAAAAACGATGCTTAATGGAAATAAATTATCTTAAAATAAAAGTGGTATTATTTGTTTTGTTGTACTTTTATCAGAAGGAACTATTGCCTATCCATGTGCGGTGTATACTAGGTGACAGATTCTGAAACAGCTGAAAACAGTCATCAAATGTTAGATGTTCGGTACAAACTGACATTGGTAATAACGTTTCCTGGATAAATATAGACACCGTTAATAATATTCGCAGTCAAAATGATATCGGAAATAATATCTATGGTAAAAACACATTGATAAAAATGTATGGCGGGAAAAGGTGGCTGCATAAAAATGGCACTGTGATGATGCAAAATAGCATGTTTAACATGCCTTTCTGTGTGTGTGTGTGAAGAAACGGTGCCATTTTTCATGTGTTATCCCCCTCACTTTTCATTATTGCTATTTTTACCAGTTCCAATTTTTTACTGGATTCCCAAATTTTAATAGTGGCAACAAAATCGCACATCATAGCTATGATCAACATTATACTAGGATCCCTCCATTACTTATTAAATAATCAATATTGTAAAATTATCCCCATTTTAAGAATGGGACACTATCCTGATATATTTCGAAAATCAAAAATTAGCATATGCTTTAGATTACTGTAATGTTATTTTTACCGTGAGATGCTGGAAAAGCCAGGCTCGCATTATGTTGGTAGCAACTTTGGGAAATATTCCCCGCTTTTTCTGTCTCTTTTTTCCTCTTTCATCATCGTCATCCTCTCCAGTGCCATCTCCCGAGCCTATGCTAGCGTCCCCTAGTGACAAATATATATACAAATGTAATTTTTTATATGTTCTCTAGGTAATTAATAAAAAAAAGACATTTTTACAACTGAATCTAATGGGGCTAAAGATATCGTTAAGATTTTAGCGTGCCCTAGTGGTTAAATATATTGTTAGAATTTTAGCCCACTAAACAATTACGGTAAATTGTAAAATTTCAATATATGTTTTAATTAACTTTTAATGGTGAGTTGTTAGGCCATTTAAGGAACGACAGTTAGGTTTAGCCACATCTGAACAGAATATTTTAAATAAGTTTACCCACGTTTTCCTACATAACGTCATATCATTATGGTCAAAACACTCAAACGTTTTTTAAGATTTGCTGGATACGAACACTTGCTCTCAGAAAAACTGTTAAACCAAGATGGCTGAAAGAAGAGGCGTACCCACACTGGACAGTCTCATTAATAATGCATTTTATATTTATAGCTATTTCTCAGGTAAGCAGAAATCGAATTCATAAAAATGACGAAACCACTTCAGCTTGTGTTAAAGCTTCGTCAACCGATCTCAGTATCAATGGTTTTGTAAAAGTATACGTGGTGTTACTATAAAGTAAAAAAAAAAGATGGCGAATCTACTACAGCTTTTGTTGCGATCTTTTTCTAACATCTAATCTTAAGCTTTCACGTTTTCACCACAGTTTTCTCTTCATTCTCTCTCTCTCTCTTCTTTTTGAAAATAATTCTATAAAACTAGACCTGATAGAGTTTCCAGAGAAATTACCGAGAAATACGCGTCTATGCGTTTTATCTCTGCGCGGTTCCTCAAGGAAACTTGACAAAACAGATTTCATTTTCTACAGAAGAAGGGGTGAACCTACAATTACCGTACAAAGAAAGATTCTGTCTTCCGGGAAAAACCATCACTGCTCCTTAGCAACTGAAACCTTTCAGAGCTCGAGATGCTAGAGCTCGAGCTTTGTCGATGAACGTGTCACATTTGGTGCCCATTAGCTCCGACAGCAGTAATCGAAACCTTGCACTTGGAATCCTTGCACATATTACGGAAAACGAAGTTTGAATGACACATGACTGAAGATTGCTGACCCAAGGGGCTGACCCATCAGTTAACATCACCTTTACCCTCAGGCAACGATTCGTTTGGGAATTAAGTTACATGTAAAAAAACAACAAAGCTCATTCCTGAAATTCTGTATAAACTTATAGGGGTCCAAAAAGCAAAGTTGTTGTTCTTTTTATTACTTCCAGGATACTGAAGAACTTAATTCTGATATAGAAAAAAATTGTTGTTGTAGTTCAGGTCACTACTTAGGGAAACTTATTCAAGTGTATATTTATTTATATAGACTATCGAAATAAAATTGTTGTTGTAGTTCAGGTCACTACTTAGGGAAACTTATTCAAGTGTATATATATATTTATATAGACTGTCGAAAAAAATTGTTGTTGTAGTTCAGGTCACTACTTAGGGAAACTTATTCAAGTGTATATATTTATATAGACTATCGGAAAAAAATTGTTGTTGCAGTTCAGGTCACTACTTAGGGAAACTTATTCAAATGTATATATATGTTTATATAGACTATATATATATATTATAATCTCAAGACTATTCCGAAAATTGCGTGAATGAAACATCTTAAGAAACATAACCGAAAAATGATTCAAAAAATAAACTTTTATAATTGCTCCGTGGTGATTCACGGTGCTATATTGAAACATCATAAAAACGACTCAAAAGCTGGATTTTTATGACCATCTTGTAAAGATGCAGTTTTAAAGGTTTGGTTTGTTTTGTTTTGAATTTCGTGCAAAGATACACGAGGACTATCTGAGCTAGACGTCCTTAATTTAGCAGTGGAAGACTAGATGGAAAGCATCTAGTCATCACCACCCACCGCCAATTCTTGGGCTACCTTCAGATTGCGAGTCAAACGCCATAACCACCTGGTCATGTCGGGTCACACTGTTAAAAAACATTACTAATGGCTCAAAAACTGGACCTTTATGATCACTTTGTATTGATATGTGGTGCTATCATAAAGAACATTATTAATAACTCAAAAGCTGGACCTTTATGATCACTTTGTATTGATATGTGGTGCTATCATAAAGAACATTATTAATGACTCAAAAGCTGGACCTTTATGATCACTTTGTATTGATATGTGGTGCTATCATAAAGAACATTATTAATGACTCAAAAGCTGGACCTTTATGATCACTTTGTATTGATATGTGGTGCTATCATAAAGAACATTATTAATGACTCAAAAGCTGGACCTTTGTGATCACTTTGTAAAAATCCGCGATGCCATCTTAAAGTACATTACTAACGACTAGAAAGCTGGACTTTTATAATCACTCAGTGATCCACAGTGCTATCTTATTAAACCGATTTAAAATCTGGACTTTTATAATTCAGTTAGAAATATTCAAGGGAGCATTATAACACGACTCAAAATCTATGATTTAATTTGTTATGATCGCTTCGTTATTTCAATAAACACTTTTATTAAGGACCCAAAATCTAGACTCACATAATCACTTTGCAATGACCCTCAGCATTAACTTAACAGATTAAATTAAGATAATCAGATTCCAATAACTTAAAGAAAAAAAAAGCCTTAAACTACCATAGAAATTATACAATGATGAAATATAAAATCGCTGTATATGACAGAATTATGTAAGCTTGTTAATTAACAACGATATCACAAAAGCAGAAGATCAATTTGTTAGATTCATGTTAGTTGTTTGGAGAGATAAGTCAATCAAACTATACCACATTTGTTAGATTCATGTTAGTTGTATGGGGATAAACTTAACAGTTTTATCATATTTATGTTGGTTGTTCGGGGATAGAGTCAATCAAACTATACAATATTTGTTAGATTCATGTTAGTTGTATGGGGATAAACTTAACAGTTTTATCATATTTATGTTGGTTGTTCGGGGATAAAGTCAATCAAACTATACAACATTTGTTAGATTCATGTTAGTTGTATGGGGATAAACTTAACAGTTTTATCATATTTATGTTGGTTGTTTGGGGATAAAGTCAATCAAACTATACAACATTTGTTAGATTAATGTTGGTCCTATTTCCAGTATACATCATAAATCTTTTCTTGCCTCAAAATAACATCGGTAACAGATACACAGTTTGTTTCATGTGATTTACTTAAGTTCCATAAGTGGCCACCAGAGGTACTAGTAAGACAATTTCCTTCCGGTACATTCGAAGTATATATATATATATATACACTGTAGGAAGATAAGGTGATTTATACGAGATTTTTGTTAAAAATCACAAGTACATGAAAGATCCAACCGCTAAATCTCTTCAAAATGTTATTGAAATTCATTTGCGTTTTAACTAAATTAGTGCCACTAGGGAGAGCTTGAAGCAAACAATCTGTAGAGCAAGACGAATGAATAAAAACAAGAATAACCATTTTCCATAAAAATTCCCTTTGGAAATATAATGCCGCTGAAGGAAGTATTCATTTCAATAATCTTAATGAATGTTTTAAAGTAAAAAGACACACGTTAGTTGTATGGTGAGAAAAGTCAATCAAACTGAGCAACACGTAAAAAAAATATCACATTCGACTTAGAACACTAAATGACTTTGCTATGCGGCTAATTACATGTCCTATTATGATAACAGGAGTAGTACATAAGACTATTAAATGACTTTATTCAAACATTATTGTCTAATGATAAGAATAGCTGCAAGAATTACGTTGTCTTTAAAAGTCTTCAACTTCTGAATGTAATTAGAAGACTTTTTAACTCTGCTTCATCGTGATAATTGGATATATAACACTAGTCTTCAATATAACCTGAAACCTGACACTGTTCTTAAATATGACACTCTTCTTAAATATAACCTGAAATATGACATTATTCTTCAATATAACCTGAAACCTGACACTCTTCTTAAATATAACCTGAAATATGACACTATTCTTCAATATAACCTGAAACCTGACACTGTTCTTAAATATAACCTGAAATATGACACTCTTCTTAAATATAACCTGAAATATGACATTATTCTTCAATATAACCTGAAACCTGACACTGTTCTTAAATATAACCTGAAATATGACACTATTCTTCAATATAACCTGAAACCTGACACTTTTCTTAAATATAACCTGAAATATGACACTATTCTTCAATATAACCTGAAACCTGACACTATTCTTCAATATAACCTGAAATCTGACACTCTTCTTAAATATAACCTGAAACCTGACATTATTCTTCAATATAACCTAAAACCTGACACTCTTCTTAAATAAAGAGAAAATATCTTAAATGTAATCCAAAAACGTGCAAAGAAAAGACATGCCGAAAAAAAAAGTGTTAAAACATATATAGTCGTGAGTGGTGCATAATTGTGTACTAACATCCACATAGTGTTGAAAGTGTGATCCGGATATTCTGACGAACAGTTAGTTGCTGGACATTTCGTTACCGCCACATTGTTACTAGGATAACTTGTGACTGGTGCATTCTTGTACATCATTTTTTGTGACGTAGCAGTTTTTTAAATACAAAATTGGTTGGTGACAATAATAAAAAATTACAACAGAGCCAAACTGTACAATCATTTGGGGACCATTCAAAAATTACATAACGCTATGGGGTAAGTCTGTATTATGATGTGTTACAGGGAGTAGGGGGGTGTCATGAGCAGTGTTGCATAAAACATATATTACAGTGAAAACGATTTAGGTTTAAAAAAACATTTATTATAATTTAACAAAACTTCGATTTGAATTTAAAACACCTTTAATAACGAGAGATGGGTGAGGTGGGGTCCTCTGGTACTTGAATTAGGTATTGGTGAATTTAGTAACAAAATTCACCCATCACAAAAAAACAAAACACTTGTAACGAAACCTTTTGTAACGATGTGACGATAACTTGGATGGCATAACGAAATGTTTCTCGTAACAAAAAAGTCCATTTCACAAGTTGTCCGTAACGAA